ATTAATTATATAATTTATAAAATAGTTAATAAATGTTGTAGTGGGGACCACTTTTGAAAGTGTAGGTGACGTGGCACAGTTGAAAGTGTTGTAGGTGAATTGCAGGTGTGTGGAAGATAATTGCAAAAGCTGATGTGGCACAATTGAAAGTGTAAATGGATTGCAGGGATGTGGATGGTCTAAGGGTGCCATTAGCTTCCCCCCAACATTATACTCTGAAAAAAGTTTGATTTTACATATTATTTAATAATAATACTAAATGAATTGGAATTTTTTTAATTGTTCATTAATATACCAATATTAATAAAACTAACAAAATACAATTTATTTCGCTAACATTTTTAAAACTTATGTATTTTTTGAAGGAAAAAAAAGAATTGTTACGTTTTTTGTTTAAAATAATTACGACATATAAATATTAAATTAATTAGATTTTTTTGAATTATTCATTAATATATCAATATTAACACAACTTGTAGAGCACAATTTATCTCTAAAATTAAAAAAATAACTAAAAAAATACGTATTTTTTGAACAAAATAAAATAAGAAGTATTATCTATTTTAAAAAAAAAAATAGATATCTTGAAAATAATATATATCACATATATTTATAAAAAAAAATCTTTATTTATACTATATTATAAAGTATTTGTCAAAAACTCTTAAAAACTATTTTTTATGCATGAAGTACTGTATATTGATGCATATTACCTAAAATTTCAGATTACAAGTTAATTATGCACAAGTACAACTTATGAAAGCTATATGTTTAAATTCGTGTAACTAACTGCGGATAAACATAATCAAATAGAGGATAAACATCTCATTTTAAAATATAAAAAATCTAAACTATAATTAGGATAATTATCGAGTTCTAACAAAATAATTCATTATTATCGTTATAAGAAAATTATATTATTAAACCAAATATAAATTACTTTGTTATTGAATATAAATTAAATTATAATATATTATATTATAAAGCATTTAATAAAAACTCTTAAAAACTATTTTGTATGCATGAAGTATTGTACATTAATGCATATTACTTAAAATTTCAGATTACAAGTAAATTATGCACAAGTACAACTTATTAATGCTCTATGTTTGAATTCGTATAACTAACTGCATATAAACATAATCAAATAGAGGATAAACATCTCATTTTAAAATATAAAAAATCTAAAATATAATTAGGATAATTATCGAGTTCTAACACAATAATTCATTATTATCTTTATAAGAAAATTATATTATTAAACCAAATATAAATTACTTCGCTATTAAACATAAATTAAATTATAAAAAATTGAATTAAAAATTAAACAAAAAATAATGAATTTTAAATAGTTAATTAGATACTAATATCGATATATTTTTGTCAAAATCACATAATACCATATTATAACATCGACCGAGATAAAAAATAAAATGAAATATTAAAATCAAAAAGTATCTCGCTGCATTGCGCGAGTACCCTTCTAGTAATATTTAATTTGCCTACAATTTAAAAAGTGAAATGTTTTTCTTTTAAATCATAATAATAAAAAGTAAAAATTATTGAAAATAAATTGAAATATATATATATATTTTTAATTTTAGTCATATCATCAAAATGATGTGTCATCCACTTCGTCTCTTTTAAGTCAAAGAAACAAAAAAGAAGTAAGGGGTTAACCGATTTAAAAAGTAGCATGTCATCTATTTATATAACCGATAGATTTTTCAAAATATGATACATTAATAAAAAACAATTTTAAAATACATTACTGTAACAAAAAAAAATGAAAATATAATATTATAATAAGTAAATTAATAAAAATAGTTTATTATTTCATTCATTTAACTTAATAACAATAATAATAAAATAATATACGTATTTAAAACAATTTAATATTATATATATATAAGATTATAAAAACTCCGTATCATATTAATATTTAATTTATAGATGCCAACTTTATTAACCTCTATTCTTTAGTGTTCTAGATAGGGGTGCAAATAATGCGAGTCGAGCTCGAGTATCACTATACTCGACTCGAACTCGAAACCTGATTTTCAAGCTTGAACTCGACTCGAAAAATCGCAAGTAGTAAAAATCAAAGCTCGTCTCGAATTTGATAAGTAATTCTCAAGCTCGAACTCCAACTCGAATCAAACTCGAACTCTAATCAAGCTCGAATCTAGCTAAAAAATAAGCTCGAATTGCAACTCAAATCGAGTTTGAACTCGAACTCAAACCAAACTCACCTATTGAAATTTATGAAATTTTAAGGTTTTTTTCTTATAAATTTAAAAACTTAAGGATGTTCTCTTAGTTTTTATAAAACTAAAAGAATTAATTTCAAACTTCATCATAAAAAAGACAAAGTTACAAATTTCATTCACCTCCCTCTTTTTTTATAACATATTTTATTATTTCCTTTACCGTCTCTCTTCAATGTGGGGACAATTTCACTAACCCCTTTATAGTTTTTCTTTGTCTTTTTTAAATGTGATTTTAATAAAAAAATGATTGATTAATTTTTATAATAAAAAATGTATAATTTTGTTTAAATATCTAAAAATATAAGACATTTTTATTATTTATAATTTACAAATTTTATAATAAAAACTGATTATATTTTATAACTAATTATATATAAAATAATCGAGTATCTCATGAGCTTTTCTAGTCGAGTATTGGGTAGCTTGACTCGACTCGTTAATATGTCGAGCTCGAGCTCGAGTTTGAGCCGAGCCTATTCGAGTCGAGTGTTGACCAGACTTTGACCGAGTCGATCTCGAATAGCTCGCGAGTTGTCTCGTATCATTTACACCCTTAGTTCTAGTGGTAGGTTGGAGATGAAAACACTTTTATTTTTATGTTTTAGTGTTGGGTTAGAGATGTTCTAACAGATTATTTAAAATGGAGAATCAAAACTCAAAATTCAAATAAATTTATTTTCATCTCCAACAACTTTCTCATTTTATAGATTTTCAATATAAATTATATTATTAAAATATTCGATATTTTTCATAAAAAAATATTATATCTCTCTCATATATATTTAATTTCAAAGATTTTTATTGGTAGAATTTTTTTTTCTTTTTACAATAACTATTTTTTAATTTTTTTTAAATTTGGGGAATTTCACCATCTATATTTTTTACTTTTTCCATTTTAAAGAATCTATTAAAAGAAAAAATACTCATAATTACATCTTATTAATGAATTACTTTAAACAATTATAAACATAATATTTATATATAAATACAATTCCTAATTCATACACATTTTTACTATCATACAATACATTTTTATAATAAATAATCATCATAAATATTTATTTCAAAATTAATCATAATTAATTGATTAATAAATTGTCAAAAATATTTACATTTATATTAAATGTTGTAATTTTTAAATTACCATAATTGTTGAAATGTAAGGAACCGTTTACCTAAATGCTTACCCAGTAAGCATTTACTGTTAGAAGTCAACACTATAATTTATTTTATAGGGTAAAATTATAATACATTAAAATAATATCATATGCAACAATTTACCCGGGTAAGAGTCGGTACCCTCATTTACTAAATAAGATTCTACATCTTTATCATTGCTTTTATTAGGTAAATTTTTTGACCCTTATTATATTCATCAGATAAACGATCCCTAATAATATTTATATTTATTTTGGATAATAAAAAAAAAATGGGCGAAAAAGAGTTCACTACTTCTCTCACTAGAACCCCCCCATCTTATATACAACAATCTATAGACGCCGGACCTCCTCTTCCTTCTCTCTCTAAATCCCCTAAAAGGCACAGAGATCTATCAACCCTCGCTGACCTTCTTGTTTTCTCGATCAGGGTCTCTATTTTCTCCAAAATCAGTCTTCATCTGTTCTTTCAATTTCTGGTAATACCGTTTGCTTCTTTTCATTTCGTTAATTTCTAACTGTTACTAGTTCTTTTCAATCTTACCCCCTTTTCAGTTGATTCATCGTTTTTATCCAATTTGATCTTGATCCGTTTCGATAATCTAGGTTAATTGATTAATCCTTGTTGAATCGGATCTGGGTTTTGTGAATTTTGGTTTACTTAATGTGTTGGAAGAAACCCTTGTGCAACCCACGATCTTGGTTTCGATTTTATTGAATTGTGTTTTAATCTTGGTGTATGAATGCATGCGAATGAAGTTCTATGTGTTTTGATTGAGTATATTGAATGATTTATGGACTTTATATACTCTGATTTCTGATTTATTTGTATGTGATTACTGGATCTTGTTGTGTTGGGGATGATGAACATGGTTGATTAGTGACAGATGGCTGTTTTTAATTGGTTTCTATGATGTATTTGATAAAATCAGAGAACAGTTTGGTAATTAGTATCATTTAGTTTTATTAATTTCATACCAAATGATCTTAGAAGAGGCTCCTTTTTTTATTCACGATCATCTTTTTCTTGAATTTATGAACTTTTCTCCGCAAATTGGTGTTTTTGGAGCTTGTAAAGTTTAGAATTCTGTTTAATTTCAAGTAAGTGGACATGGAAGAGATTCTAGATATTGATTTCATGCCCAGTGATGCTGAAGGCCACTTAGAAGTGGCTCTTTTCTTGATTCGAGATCATATTTTTCTTGAATTTTAAAATTTTTATCTGCAAATTGGTGTCTATGGAGCTTGTAAAGTTCAAAATTCTGTTTAATTTCAAGTAAGTGGACATGGAAGAGATTCTAGATATTGATTTCATACCAGTGATGCTGAAGGACACTTAGAAGTGGCTCTTTTCTTGATTCAAGATCATATTTTCTTGAATTTATGAACGTATTCTTAGTAAATTGGTGTTTATGGAGCTTATAAATAGTGGATTCTAGATATGTATGTTATCATTTCTTGATTCAAAATCATATTTTTATTGAATTTATGAAGATTTCTCTGTAAAATGGTGTTTATGGAGCTTATAAATCTTGAATTCATTTCTATAGTAATGAAGTGTTATCTTCTCTACAAATTGGTGTTTATGGAGCTTATAAATAGTAGATTCTAGATATGTATCTTATCTTTTCTTGATTCAAAGTATCATTTTTATTGAATTTATAAAGATTTCTTTGTAAAATGGTATTTATGGATCTTGTGAAGTTATGAATTCAGTTCTTTAATCGATCGGGTGTTTTATCTTGCCCATTTGGCTGAGCCATTTGTTCTTCCTGTTTCAGGGTCTTTTTCGTTTCTAAGGTTATTTAAGTTATCGTATCTTGAAAAAAATCATGGGTATCGATGGAGTGGAGTCTGAGTTGGCCCATGTGGCTGTGGAGAATGGGAAGAAAGAGATCGGTCTTAATGGACATGTTGATGAAAATGAATCCGGTACTCACGGGAATGAATCAGTGCGAGTAGAAACCACCCCAGATACGAGCTTTCCAAAGGACGCAGTTGATGAGTGGCCTGAAGCAAAAGTGTTCCATTCGGTTTATTTTGTTAAATACCGAACAGTTGAAGACCAGAACTTGAAGGCTAAACTTGATTTGGCTGATAAGGAGCTTAGAAAGCTTAATCAAGCCCGTGATCCGATTACTGAAAAACTGAGGGCAAAAAGGGTAAGACGTTATAAATCGAGACTTTTGAACTTATGCTTTAACGATTGTTTAGTTACGTATGTTAAATGTGTTTATATTTTTTTAGACTGAACGGGCACAAGTAATAGGGCAATTGAAGGCATTAGTTGAAGAGAAAAACCATTTCCGGACGATTATGGATGACAAGAGAAAAGAAATCGAACCTTTGCAGCAGGCATTGGGAAAGTTGCGGGGACCAAGAGATGCGAATAGAGACAATAGAAGTTTCATATGCTCTTCTGAGGGAGAGCTCAATGATGTTGTAAGCCCGGTTTTAGAAATCCATTTCCATAGAAATAAAATGCTCAAAGTTTCTTCATTTTTTTTTGACTTTTTTGTCTTTTTGATGTTCATGTTCGGATTTTGCTTTTAATTTCACTACAGAAAAATCGGCTTTACAAGACATGAAATATGTCTAAATGTTCTAATAGACTGCTTTATAAGACTTAGGTTTACACGACCAAATAATTGTGCATCCCATGTAAAGGTGTTCCATAGGATGCTAGGACCTATTTGGGCATCTTTAGCAAGTTTTTTAGGACATTTTTGAAATAGTGTCATTCATTTTTTGAACACATCTTTTTATATGACGTATTTTTATAAAATAATATCATATAAAGAGACTTAATAGGATGGTTTTATTTCAAAAGCCTCCTAAAAAACTTGTTGGGAAGCCCAAAAACGTTCTATTAACTTATTGTATCACAAAATTGTTTGGTCCTATAATTATAAATCATGTAAAGCGGTCTTTTCGGACATATATATATATATATATATATATATATATATAATTAAATATAGAGAGAGGTTCAGTATTTTCGGACATATATATATATATATATATATATATATATAATTAAATATAGAGAGAGGTTCAGTAGAAAACCCCAAAGAATTGAATACCCGAGGAACACCGTGGTAACCATTTATCTGGACAGGATGCACAGGTGCATACAAGTAATTGAAGTTCTTTCTTGGTTTTCATGCACGTGTGCATACCGGACAAATTGCTTGTATGCACATGTGCGTACCGCCTAGATGAATGATTACGGGGGTGTTCTTCAGTTCTTCATTTTTTTTGCGGTTTTCTCCTGAACCTGACCTATATATATGGCATCCTATAAAGCCAATTTTGTATACGTATATGCATCTTTACCATATTTTTAAAGAACAAATATTTGAGTCATTTGAATGTCTTTTTTCTCACTTTGTATGCAGATTAAGAGTTTGCAATACCGCATTCAACATGAAAGTATTACCCTAAATGAGGAAAAACAAATCATTCGAGAAATCAAACAATTTGAAGGGACACGGGATAAAGTTATCGCGAATGCTGCTATGAGGGCGGAAGTTCAGAAATCCGTTGGTGAAAAAGATGCCATTCAAGACCAGGTCAAAGTATGAACACTGCTCACAAAATCTTGTTTGACTAAGATCTCGATAGTTCATATGTTAAATCTTTATTAATGATTTCTGTTTTGTAGCTTATTGGTGTCGGTCTTGATGGGGTCCGCAAAGATCAACAGGCTATTAAGGCGAAAGTTAAGACCCTCGAGGCTGAAAAAGAGGCCATAAACAGCGTGATTGCTTCTTTAGAGGAGGAATTGCACGGGTTGGTCGAGAAAAGGGACAAGGTCTATGAGAAGATTCGTGAGTTGAGGAATAAACGTGAAGAAGGGGTATGTTGGTAATTTTGATTGCGGTTAAATTTCGTGTTTTCAGACATGGCTGTTTGATCATCGGTTGTGTTTTGCATCTTTCCAGAATAGTTGCTTTTATCAGAACCGCTCGCTCTTGAATGACGCAAGAAGGCTGGCTGCAAATAAAGACGTTAATGCCCTTAAAGAGCTTGCTATATCAGAGGTTTGTTAGTTGTCTCGATACAAACTTTGTTTATTTTTTGAGCTTATTGAGAAAATCCCGTTTGGTTGGTGATAAGATGGCTTCTTGCAACACTACTCCAAATACTGTTTCAATAAGCTCCACGGGTTTTTTCCACTTTTTTCTAATTATACCCTTTAAAAATTTCAACTAAGTTTCCAACTAAATTTTCAACAAATCTTTTTAGGTCATATTACCATTATTGTGTAAGCTATTTTTTTCAAACATGACTAGTTTGGTTAGTTTTTCATTAAGTCCTGTATGGATAAAGCTGTATGTATGAATTAATCTATCTGTATAGATTGGAAAAGTTTTTGTTTGGGAGGGTTTTTCCATAGATGGAAGGAGAGTGTTTTTTAATTGGGAAGGACGGGTTTGGAAAAAACTTGGCTTTCTGCATAAAGCTCTCCATTAGAAGCTTACTGAATAAGTCAGTTTCTATATCACTAAGCCACTACCAAACAATCATGTATAGCTGAACGAATAAGTTGCGAGTCCCATTAAGCTCATTAAGCTGCTTATTAACCATAATCTAGCTTTTTGAAATGCTACTACAAATAGCGTTTCAATAATCCCCATGAGCTTTTTTCCAATTATGCCCTTTATACTTCTTAACATATTCTCTTGGGTCATTTTATATTACTATCCGGCTTATAAGCTAGTTTTTACCAAACTTGACTAATGACTAGTTTATCAGCTAACAGCTAGCTCATCAACTAGTTATCCAAACTTTGTCTTAGTTTATTATTCTCGAGCTTATCACTCATGTTGACCTAATGGATTTAGGTTGACAAGTTCATGACCGAGTGGAATAAGAGTAAAGCATTCAGAGAAGATTACGAGAAAAGAATCTTGCAATCGCTTGATATCCGACAACTAACCAAAGATGGGCGTATGAGGAATCCTGGAGAGAAGCCATTGATTTCACAAGAAATACCAACTCCTGTTCCTGTTGAGATCGAGGTCGTAGCAAAACCGAAGGTGAAACAAACGAAGGAAGAACCTGCTCCACCTCCGGTTGCCATAATCGAGGAAGAAAAAGATGGGAAAAACGCGAAAGAAACAAATGGGACCGTAAAGGGTAAAAAAGAGAAAAAAGAAGAGGAGGAAGTTTTCAGGGTGGAGAAAAAGCCGACGAAAACAAAAGAAGTCGATGAATCAAAGCTGAAGGAGATTAAGAGGGAGGAGGAGATTGCAAAAGCGAAACAGGCTTTGGAACGGAAGAAAAAGCTGGCGGAAAAAGCCGCAGCAAAAGCGCAGAAAAAAGCTGAAAAGGAAGCCGAGAAGAAGCTTAAGGAAATCACGCTCGTTTCATTCCGTTCTTCATTGGTTTTGATTCTTTTCGACTTCTGATCATAAAATAACAGGTTTTTGTTCATTCGTTACAGGATCGTGAGAAGAAAGAGAAGAAGAAAATGCAGGCTTCTGCACCTGCCGCCGATCCCGAGGAAGCAACAACGGAGGAGGCTGCAGCCGAGGCTCCGGAGGAAGAAAAGATCGAAGAAAACGTCAAGATTACAGCAAAGAAGTCGTTTCCAAAGGAGAATACGAGAGTTCGAAGCAGAAACGTCAGGGGGAAAGGACCCGAATCGATTTCAAAAGTGATACTGAAACGCAAAAAGTCAAACAACTATATGTATTATTACGCTGCTGCGGCTTCTGCGATCGTGGTTGTGATTTTAGCCATCGGGTATAACTTGTATGCGTAGACAATGGGAAAATGGTGCACCTTTGGGTCAAAACGAACGGTAACGGATGGATACAGGTGGTTCTTGGAACGTAATGTCGTTTTTTTGTTTTTGAGTTCGTTTTCTTTGATATGTATTTGCAGACAGACCGAGAACTCGATATATGACGGTTTAGAAGAGGTAGTTTGAAAAATGTACCTGAGATTTAAGCAGCAGCCATAGAAGTTGGTTTTGGATTAGTGTAATTTTTGACCTTTTGGTTTTGATAAGAAACAGAATGTTGTTTATGTGATATATTTTGCATTTATGTTGATCTGATGATATATACAGGGATCGTTGGAATCAAGTGTCGATTGTTTTCTGGATCGTGTATAATAGCGATTCACTGATCGCTGTATATTAATGCCACTTAAAGCATACTGATCAGTGTCACTGAATGCTGATCAGTGTGCTATTGAAACCATTAACTAATTTCAATGGCATTGAAAATGGTAGTTGATTACTTCATGTTGAGTTAATTTTCTCAATTTATAGATATATATTTATAGTTACTGAACATATATACGAATGAGTCATATAGAGACATGAAGAGATTGAAAATATGTTTATATGAAGAACGTACGTGATAGTGTAATTGTCTAATCTATATATTAATAGAAATTCAACAATCATATTAAATCCAAAAAATAAAAGAATATCAAGTTCCTCAGGAATCGGGATGAGTTGAAATAATAGTAACACCATATCAATCCAATACCTACGGTTTGAAAATTTTAAAACTCGATTAGACATCAAGTTGCTTCGGACTGTGTTATTTTGGTTTAGATTGGATTGTTCGAGCGAAATCAATCTTGGTTCAACTTTTTAACAATTTGTTGGACAAATACGTGGAACTTGTTACGAGTGGACGGGGTTTCTACTTTCCATTACGCACCTCAATATGGCAAGAAGAAAGGATTCAAGATAATAACGGTACGGCGAACAAACAATAATCCGGCAGCAACCAGACACCGACGGCCGACGGCGATGGCATCGATGAGCTTCGCCGCCGTGGTACAGCCGTTGCTGAAAAGAGCAGTTCAAGCAATACCCAATTCTAGCTTCACCATCGTCAACCATAAGTTTCCTCCCTCCTTATTCCATGCCCCTTTGATTTCTTCAGGTTTCATCATCATTTCTTCTCAAAATTTTACTGAAATTTCTTGTTGATTATGGGTTTAAATGTTTTCCATATCTTTTGCTGAAAACTAGTGATTGATACACCCTTTGACTTTGGAAGTCAAACTGGTCATCATTCAACTGCAAAATTATGTTGGGATTTTCAAAATTTCTTTACGATCGATGCTACCCACATTATAGCTTACAATAAGAACTCAAAATATGAATTCAGTTTGTGTTAATTTCGCAGTAAAATCCATATAATTTACATTTTTATAGACAGTAGGTTTGACTTCAGAAAGGTCAAAGCCCTAAATCTTGATTCTCTTTGTTGTTGGATTGATATATGTACATACATACATACACACATACATACATGCATACATACTTACATACATACATACAGGTATTACTATTGGTATATGTCATTTGGCACAAGCTGTAAAGGGTGATAATGAGATTTTACTCAAGGGAGTTGGTGAAAAGGGCTACAATGAAGAAGTGAAGCATATTATTGAAATGGTAATTTCTTATGAAACCTTCCAAGAAAAGGAAAAGTAGGGAAATTGTCCAAAATACCCATTGGAGACCTCAATTCAATTTATAGTCGGTTTTCTGTTCAATTAACCAAAATAGCCAAGATTTCCCAAATAGCACTTTAAGCGACTTGCAAAATCCACTTTTTATTGGTATTTGGGCAAAAAGTTGATAACTTGCAACCTCAACCGGCCTCACGCTTTTTAGTATTCATAAAGTTGCAAATTCGCAAGTTGCTGAAGTGCTACTTGCGAAATGCTTAAGCACTTTAGCAAGTTGGGTAAGGGGCCGTTTACCAAACACTTACCCGGTAACTGCTTACTGATAAAATTTAACATTATCATTTACTTATCGCATAAGATTTTAGTCCACCAAAACGGTATCGTATGTAACAATTTACCTGGTAAGCGCTTACCGTGGTAAGAGTCGTCGCCCTCACTTACCAGGTAAGACTCTTGATTCTTGTCTAACTCTTACCGGGTAAGATTTTTGATCCTTACTATATTCATCCGATAAGGTAATGTGACTTGGTGTTCACTTACCCAAGTAAGCATTTGGTAAACGGCCCCTTAGCAAGTTATGTAAGTGACATTTCCACGTCAATATTTTGTTAGTAGCACTTTATCAACTTGCAAAATTGCTGCTTTATGAATATTATTTTCATAAAAAGTGGATATTACAAGTTGCTAAAGTGCTACTTGCGAAACCTTGACTATTGCGGTTAAATATGTAGTAAAGCGGCTATAAAGTGAATTGGGAGGTCAAAAATGACTATTTTGAAAAACTTCCCCACAATTCAAGGGAACTCTTGGTACGTAGACCGGACATGACTAGACTAGACTAGACTGGTGGTAGATGGGTGAAAGAATTCCGCAAGGTTTTAGGAATTTCATTTTGATATGGGTAGTTTAGTAATTTATCAATCTTGTCCCCATCTCCTAATTCTTGTTCCAACTATTTTGATCGGGACAAAGAAAATACATTTGTATCCCACTCATGTTTTTGTACTGTTCTGTCTCGTCTTATCTCGCGTACCAAACACACCCTAACAGAACATTTTCAAATGGAAAGTATTGTAGATTTCATGTGATGGAGGAGATGGCATTTTCTTGATTCTTATAGATCAGCATTTGGGCTTGTAAATTAGGCAAAACGGGCATCGTTAAGACGTGAAGTTCTCCATACGGATTTTCTGACCCCACCGGTGGTAAAGGAGTCGATGATGATTATAGAAAAACTAGCGGATGTCAAAACATTAGTCCAAGGAGGCTACCCTGAGGCTGAACGTTGTCGGCTATCTGTTGGACATCCCGAAGCATTGACAACCGAGCCCGATATTGTGGCGGCATTAAGGTGGTTAATGGTTAATTTTAGGAGTTCAAAATTTTGGTTTTCAAGACTTGGGGTTGTTTGTTTACCTCTTAATAGTTCCATTAAGAGGCAGATTCTGAATCGTTGAGAGGTGAATCTTGTTTGGCCAAAAAAAAAAAGTCTGCCTCTTAATGGTTCTAAAACCCTCTGAATGATTTTGTATCTTAGGCCTCCCTTGACCATTAAGCACCCTGATTTCATTGTAAACAATTACCAAACAATTATCTTAATCATTCTGACCACTTAACCATTCTGCACCAAACCATTCAGCAACTGCCAAACAGCCAATAGTAAAAAAATTGATTTTTTTTGCAGTATTTCAGGGAACTTTGGTTTTCAACCTTGTTCCCATGGCGATTTTCTTGGAGCTATTCTTGGCACAGGGATTGTAAGAGATAAATTGGGGGATATTCTTTTGCAGGTATTTTTTGCTTTCATACGTTTTTCACAAGCCGGGGGTCTTCATGGAAACAATTACTCTATTTTTTTGAGCAGAGGTTAGGTCTATGTACATCTCTGACCCCACCTCAGGGTGGGACATACTGGGTTTGTTTGGTTTAGTTTATTCTTCTGCAAATTGTTGGTTCCCAGATCTCATATTGAATCAAGGATCTAAAGGGAATATGTAAAACAGAAGCAATTTAGATCAAAACAATTTATAAATGGAAGAAAAATCAATCAATATGAAGAACAATATCAACACGGAATCGTAATCATATGATTAATCATTTCCATCAATCTTACAAGGATCGAAATAATGAGGATATTTGGAGATGGAAGTGTTTATAAAAACAACTCACGTTCACAAATTACAAATGGGAAAGGGGACTCCAATTTATAGGGAAATATAAGAACCGGTGATTTTCCTACTTTACGCTCAAGTTTTCCTTTTCACACTTTTAACAATAACATTGGGACCGACACGAATATTGCGCATACTTTGTTTTTGGTTGCAAAAGAAAAACTGAAAAGTGGAAAAAGAAAGCAAACGGTGTTGAATTTGTTGAACATCATTCGGGATTTCTTGTTCGGTTGCAGGGTGAAAAGGGAGCTCACGTTCTTGTTATTCCAGAACTAGTCGACTTCCTCACTATATCACTCGATAAGGTAATAGAATTGAAGTCCGTAATTCTCATGATTATGAATTTCCGGTAGTTGCTTCTATTTATCTTGTTGCTTAGGGGTTGCTTGGTTGGTTTGCTATTAAGTTCTGAATGGATAAAGCTGTATGTGTGGATTAATCTGTTTATATAGATTGAGAAGGTTTTTGTTTGGGAGGGTTTTTCATAGATGGAAGGAGCGTGTATTTTAGGGGAAAAACTTGGCTTTCTGCATAAAGCTCCCTTCCTAGAAGCGTATTGAATAAGCCACTTTCTATATCATTAACACACTACCAAACAATCATAACTAACCGAATAAGCTGTGAGCCCCATTAAGCTCGTTAAGCTGCTAACAAACAAACCCCTACTGATATTCAAGGTAGAGGTCAGGTTTGTGTACGTTTTACCCCATACCTCACTTTTGAGAGGTATATACTGGGTTTGTTAGGTTTGGTATGATTTTCACGAGTCAATATAGCGTAAGTTATTGTTGATGGCAGGTTGGGAACGTACCTGTGACGTGTAAGAAGATGCCATTGATTGCCCTTGAATACGAACCACCAAGGTCATTAACCACCGTCGTGTTTTCTTTCTTCAATGTTTGATTTTGTGATGGCGATAAACTCGACATAAAACGTGCTGTTTTGTAGGACTAAAACGTTCAAAACTGTAGAAGCGTCTATGAGGATTGACTCCATAGCAAGTGCGGGATTCAAGATCTCGAGATCAAAACTAGTTGGCTTGATCAGGTACCCTTTTGACAACTGGATGTTTATTTGACCGAAATGATCTTTTTTGCATTGGTTGTGATCGTGGCGCCCCCGTGATTCAGTGACGGGGATGTGCGCGTTAATTGGGTGACTGTCACGAAGAATAACACGACTATAAGGAGCGGAGACATGATTTCTGTAAGTGGGAAAGGAAGATTGAAGGTTAGATAACAAAATATCTTTAACTTAGGGGCCGTTTACTACCTGTTTATTGCCTCTTATCGGATGAGAGGCCCTTACCCGGTCAGAGATTTACCAACCGCCTCTTATTGGTCCAAATTTAGGGGTGTAAACGAGTTGAGCCGAATCGAGTAGTAGCTTATTCGAGCTTGGCTCGACTTGGAAAATTTAATCGAGCTTTCGAACGAGCCGAGTCCAAATATTGATTTTACGAAGCTTGACTCGTTAAGTTTAACGAGTTCTTTTTTGTATTTGAGATCAACTCGAGCTTGAGAATTATTAAGCTCAAGCTCGAGTACGAGTAGCTCGTTAAAAGCTTGACTCGTTTACACACCTAGGTCCAATGATATTGGCTTGGTAAGCTAATGGAGGGACTCTTGCTAGGTCATTGATTAGTGCTGACCCAGACAACACTATTACCCAGTCAACACTTACCCAATTTGTGTCGGTAAACGGCCTCTCAATCCTTTCTTATTTGGTATTTGTTCTAGACAAATCCTCTTAATCATTCAGCACATTTTACTTTTTGTTTTTGCGTTTGTGTTAGATAGGGGAAGTGAACGAAACCAAGAAGGGGAAGTTTGCAGTCGAGCTCATACGATTTCTATGACTTCAATCCATATTTCGTGATCGGGTCTTCATAGATGGAAGGTTTGTTGACCATATGACTACCATTCGTTAGATTTTTGGTTTGACGTTATATTGCGCCAACGGATTATGTAAAATTACGACAAATTGTCGTGAGTTTGAATCTTTCCGAAGACATTTGTGTGTGCCTTTGGTAGTACCCGTTGATTGATCTTATGTAGTGCGTGATTTGGGTTTTTCTTCAAACTATTAGAACGTGTGCCGTTTAATTGTGTTTGATTCGGCTCGTAACAATAGACTCGTCAAAGTCAAAGTCAACATAAACGTAACTGTCACTATCTTGTTCATTTGGGCGTGTTTGTATGTCATATATAGAATTATATATATACATATATGTTTTCTATATATTATTCGAATAAGATAATTATATTAAAAATGTATTATAAAAGTAGTTTTTGATTGAATATTTAAAATAGAACTTATAAATGTAATTTTACAATTTCATTTTAACTGTGAGTCCATAATGTTTATGAATTCGTGAAACTATAACTGATGCGATTCCCTAATTATAAAATTGTAAATTCTAAAGTTAAAACTGTACAGACACAAAAGATGAAAATAAAAGAAAATTTGAAAAAAAGTCACGTCTTATAAAAAACCGCACGTCATGGCGTGTCTCAAAGCGCCATGGTGTGAGCCAAGACCAAAACCCATAAACCGGACCTAGATTGCAGGGACGGACCTGTGTTGGTGGTATAGGTGGCACGTGCTACCGTGTTTTCCTCCGTCGAAGGGTAACAAATTTAGGTTCGTGATAGGTGCAACCGTATTAATCTGTTGTGTGTCACCGTACATATTTTGAAACTACAACGAGAACAAGTTTTATTTGATAGATTTGGTTACGAGAACAAGTTTTATTTGATAGATTTGGTTACGAGAACAAGTTTTATTTGATAGATTTGGTTTGTAAGACCTTTATTCAACCCCAGACTCATGTTCGAATCTTGTTAGTGTCATTTTCTTAGTCAAATGGTGTCATCGTTTGAAAAAAAATTATGTATATTTGTTTCTTATAGTCAAACGGTACCACCGAGTGAAATTTCTAGGTCCGTCCCTACTAGATTGGTTGTAGAAATTTTTATTGGGACGGGACCAAAACCAACGGGCGCGGTTCTTAAGTTACTGATTTGGGCTCGGGACCGATTTGGTTTTTAAAATTTGTAAAATATGGACTTGGTGCATAAGCCCAATAAAGTTGGGTTCTTTAGGCCCAATAAAGTTGGGTTCTTTCGGCCCAATAAATTTGGGTTCTTTTCGGCCGAATTCTCTATTTCAAATTTACAACGGCTCACATTTCTTAAAATTGGAACAATTCAAATTGAATTCTCCCCCCGCTCTCCCTCTCTCTGCAATGGCGACTTCCAATGGCATCCTCACAACACCCACGAAAACCATGGCAAACGATAGAACTTCTTCTTCTTCCTCTGCTTCAAGGAAGCACCACCATCATCACCAGAAAATCACCGATTCGTCCTCTTCCTTTAAGGCCCGATTTGAAGCCTATAATCGTCTTCAGGCGGCTGCAGTTGCATTTGGTGAACAGCTTCCTATTCCTGAGATTGTAGCCATTGGAGGGCAGTCTGATGGGAAGAGCTCACTTCTTGAAGCACTTCTCGGATTCCGATTTAATGTTCGCGAGGTCGAGATGGGTACACGTAGGCCTCTCATACTCCAGATGGTCCATGATCCTACTGCTCTCGATCCTAGGTGTCGGTTTCAGGTTTGATCCGGTTTTGAATTATTGTATATGATCCGTGGTTAACTGTGGATTTAGTTTGTAGTTAGGGTTTATGATTGAAAGTACGGACCAAGTTTTGGAGTAGGTATTGGGGATTTTTGTTTGAAATCACTTGAATTCTTTTGAAAGGCGGTATCAGAGCTTATTTAAGTGTCAATCGTCCAATTTTGGGTATCATATTGGTAGTAATAGAGTTTGAACTGGTCATCTTACGAGTGGTAAATTGAATCATTGAGAACATTTTAGTAATCTATAGCTTGAACTATTTGTTCTGAGGATAGGATATGGATATTCTTTAGGTAAGCATTTAGCAACATCTATTGAAGTGCCTTTTTATGCTTATAAATTTAGCTGTTTCGTTCTGTATATGCGTGATTCTCAAATTTAACTTTACGAACAGGAAGAGGATTCTGAAGAGTATGGCAGTCCTATCATGTTAGCATCAGCTGTTGCAGACACCATCAAATCAAGAACTGATGCACTGTTGAAGAAGACTAAAACTGCGGTCTCTTCTAAGCCGATTGTGATCAGAGCTGAATACGCCCATTGTCCTAATCTCACCATTATCGACACTCCTGGTTTTGTTCTCAAGGTAATGCATGTAAAAATGTGCTTTTGTTATGGTGGGAAGGGTAGTGTGTTGTTTAAACATCAAGATTTATGTGCATGTGTATGATAATTACAATTCGAAACTACTATTGGCAGGCAAAGAAGGGTGAACCAGAGAGCACACCAGAGGAAATTCTATCAATGGTTAAGTCATTGGCTAGCCCAACCCACCGCATCCTTGTATTCCTTCAACAAAGTAGTGTGGAGTGGTGCTCATCTTTGTGGCTGGATGCCATTCGTGAAATTGATCCAACCTTCCGAAGAACAGTAATTGTAGTTTCCAAATTTGATAACCGGCTTAAGGTACAAAAAATTTCTACATTCTAAGAGCTAAATCTAAATAGTAATTATATTACCCTTAGCATTAACAATTAAATCAAAAGTTCAATTCTTGAGAGTTGAGGTAAAACCACTCACCCTATGTTGTTTTCTTTATTTTATGTACATGAGGAACTTAGGGGCCGTTTACAAAAAACTTACTTAACAAGTGCTTACCGGTAAAATACAACATTATTAATTACTTATCGGGTATGCTTTTAATCTACCAAAACGGTATCATATGTAATAATTTACCCGATAAGCTCTTTCCGTGGTAAGAGTCGTCACCTTCAATTATCAGGTAAGACTCTTGTTCCTTGTCTTGCTTTTACCGGATAAGACTTTTGGTGCTTGCCATACTCACCCGATAAGGTAATATGACTTGGTAAATGCTTACCCGGGCAAGCGTTTGGTAAACGGTCCCTTAGTCTTGGTGTTGAAAATACTCATTACAGACCCAAATGAAAATTAAATATGCAAGAGATCAATATAACTGCTCTAACAAGTAAAATGAGAAAAAAGTTATTGACATTCTTTGTTATATATATATATTGGTATGGGTACGGCTAATTGTGGATGATATGGCATTACTTGTTTGGTCCTGTTGAATTTTTCACACATGTAACGGTTCTGCTGTAATGTGAGAGATGTAATTTCTTCAGGAATTCTCTGAACGTCGGGAAGTGGATAGCTATTTAAGTGCAAGTGGCTACCTTGGAGAGAATACACAGCCCTTTTTTGTTGCCCTGCCAAAGGACAAGACAACAGTTTCCAACGATGAATTTCGCAGGCAAATAGCCCAAGTGGATGTTGATATTTTGCACCATCTACGAGACTCTGTCCACGGAGGCTTTGATGAAGAAAAATATAGGTCCCAAATTGGCTTTGGTCGCCTCCGAGATTATCTGGAATCTGAGCTTCAAAAGAGATATAAAGAAGCGGCACCAGCAACTTTGGCATTACTTGAACAGCGTTGCAATGAAGTCACTGCTGATTTAAACTCCATGGATTCCAAAATACAGGCTACTTCTGATATTGCTCACCTCCGCAGATCATCAATGTTGTTTGCATCTGCCATCTGCAACCATTTGGTATGCGTTTATTGGAAGAACACTAATGTTGTATTTGCAACTTGCTAGCTAGCTGTTAAGTAAGAAATTCAGCCTCTGCGTCAAATTATACATGTTTCATTTAACTGAATATATTATGTCCGATTTTGATATGCTGAAAGGGAGCACTAATAGATGGAGCAGTAGATCCCGACCCAGAGCAATGGGGCAAAACAACAGAAGACGAGAGATCAGAGAGTGGTATCGGGAGCTGGCCTGGTCTTACAGCAGATATAAAGCCACCGAATGGTAGCCTTCGCCTTTATGGTGGTGCTGCTTTCGAAAGAGTTATACATGAATTTCGTTGTGCTACATATTCAATCGAATGCCCTTCAGTTTCAAGAGAGAAGGTAAAAGTTACGGGATGAGTGCTTTTTTGGATCGAGTAACAGATCAATGATTTGGATATCTTTTTACAGGTGGCGAATATAATACTCGCTCATGCTGGCCGAGGTGGTGGAAGAGGAATTGTAGAGGCTGCTGCTGAGATTGCGCGTTCTGCTGCCAGGTCATGGCTTGCCCCTCTGCTTGATACAGCTTGCGAACGGCTTGCATTTGTGTTAAGAAACCTCTTTCATCTAGCCATGGAGAGAAATCACCTTTGCCATGCTGATTGTAAGTTCTTGGCTCATTTTCTGTAGTAGCTTATGAAACTATGTATTTCAGATATAGAAGTTAGAGAGCTTGGATTGGTTAAGGGCCGGAACTAAATCATTAGGACGAGTTTTAGGCTTATCAAGAACAGACCCACCAAGGACTGGAGGTGGATCATTAGGACCGGTTTTGTAACACCCCCATTCCGAAAGAAAGGGAGGTTACTTCAAAACGTAACGGAACACTATATAAAACCTCCAAAATATAGTCTCCAATACAAAATAAAATCTTCCATAACGAAATTGAATATAACCTCAAATAAGATATAAAGGTCTCCAAACAAACTATTTCCAAGAAAAGCTAAAAACAACCAAAGAAATCTAATCTAATAGCCAAAAGAAAAAGATTCTAATAAGCGAAATAACATAGTTCT